TGGGGGTGGGAGGGTGGTCATGAAGAGGGACGGCAGCTGGTGGAGCTCACTGAAATTGAGGGGGAGTGAAGTTTAGCATTATTTTTGGGACTGCTTACTATATGGATTGTGATCCCCTGGAGGTACTTAACCAGTCATCTAGGGCTCTTTTGGATGGAGTCATCCTTACTGCCAAGGTAGATGGTATATAAATAGAACAGATTGGGGCCAGAGGGTGGAGAGAGAGAGAGAGAGAGAAATCTACTTAGCAGAAGAAAAGTCCAACTTATGGAGATACTTGGAGAGATTGTAAGCCTGTAGTTGCCAGTAGAGAAGACCTCTTTTAGGGTAGAAAAAGCTAATATTGGCGATACAGCTTTTGAAAGAGAATTTTTAGATCAGTAGTAGGCATTGTATTCAATGGGGAACAGAGGCTCCTGTCTTCTAGCAGCAGAGAACAGAGTTAATATGGAAAAGAACAGCCTGCTCACCTGATACTAAAGAAAGTTTGTTTGAGTACTCTAAAGGGACAAAGTGCTTCCAGGCCCTGAAGTGTGAGAAGTTGTAAATTGCCTTTACCACCTGTATATTCTATATATTTGCTATCACTAGCATTATACACTAGGTTTGAGTACATTCTTTCAGTGGAAACTTGTATTTGTGGGAGAGTGCTTTAAGGGTGCATGGGGGAACATTTTATAACTACTACTGTTGTTACTATGTTAGTATACCAGTAAATACTTTTATTAAGAGCTAATTGTGTCTATAAGCTGATATGGGGGGGGGCTGCAGCTTGTGAACTATAGTGTGAAAACCCATAAGGTTGTCCCTAGAATCCAAGAGCAGCAGCAGCTCTGGGAATCAAACTTGTGTGTTAGTTGGAGAAGATGTTACCCAGTGGTATTTTATATTTTTGTAATTAGCCTTTTTGGCAAATTTCGACTATATCCCTATAATTATTCAATATATTCTTTTTCTGTTTTTGATAATGAAATTTGTGATTACAAAGTATATTGTTAGAATACATCATCTGTTAGTGGAAATATTATAATAGAATCATATTAACCTTTTGCCTGACCAGTGCAGTTATTTTCCTTTTAGGTTATTATGAGTAAAAGTTCTAATAGCTGTGAGGCCAACTCTTGGGGGTGAGTCAGAGAAGAAGAGTAGATGAAATTGACAAAATGGAAGTTAGTTATTATTCAGAGAAAAGTAACTTCCTAGTCCAGTTTGAAAGAGATGCTAGCTTTGGAGATAGTTTTTTTTCCTTAGGAAGAGTTAGAACTACACTGATATCTACCCTGATCTGTAATGAAAGTTTCATGTTGATGTAGAATAATTTAGAAAACCATGTCTCGAGCCTCTATATTTATATTCAACATCAGGAATATGTGGGATTGTACTTATTTTTGTGCCTTAAGTTCTTCAGATTGGTAGTTATAATGGCATTAACCTCAAAGTTAAGACAAAATAACTTTTTTCATTTTTATTTAAAGTTTTGAGTTCCAAATTCTGTCTGTTCTTCCCTTTCTCCCCTCCCCCTCCCTGAGATGGTAAGCAATCAGATATAGGTTATACACGTGCAATTACGTAAAACGTTTCCATATTAGTCATTTTGTACAAGAATACTCAAAAAAATTAAAGAAAGTGAAAAATAGCATGCTTCAATCTGTATTCAATCAATATCAGTTCTTTTTCTGGAGGCAGATAATATCTTCATCATTAGTTCTTTGAGATTTTTCTAATATTGTTGTTACTGTGTGCAATGTTCTCCTGGTTCTGTTCATTTTACTTTATATCAGTTCATGTAAGTCTTTTCCTGGTTTTTCAGAAAACATCCTGCTTGTCATTTTTTTTTATAGCCCAGTAATTTTTCATTTCAGTCGTATAGCACAGCTTGTTTAGCCATTCCTCCATTGATGGGCATCCCTTTGATATCTTAGCCACCACAAAAAGAGCTGCTATATAATATTTTTGTACAAATAGGTCCTTTTCCTTTTTTTTTTTTTAATGTCTTTGGGATATAGACCTAGTAGTGGTATAACCAAATAACTTTTAAAAGAAGTTGGTGGGTGGGAGATGATTCTGGGAAGATGGAGGAGTAAGTCAGAAAATTCTAAGCTTTCCAGATTTCCTCCACAAATAAGCCAAAATAGCACCTCAGGGTAGTAAAAATAAGCAAGAGTTGGGTCAGAAGGTTGGTCCTCCTGGGGCAACCAGAGAAAACCTAAGATTTGGTCTCCACGCTAGTTCTACTGAAAGAGCAAATGGTGAGTCCTTGGGCTCGCTGGGTTGGGAGGTAGTCTTGCTTCCAGCCAGAGGAATTCTCACCTCTGGACAGTGTGGGGAGTCAGGTTTCTGAGCGGGGGAAGACTGAGGGAATCTCTCCTGATAAGGGGTGTCAGGCCCATCTGTGCTGCAGAGACAGGGCTCTGAGTGAGAAGGAACCAGCACAGGACAAGTGAGTGGAGAACCAGTGGGGTGGGGGACATTGCTGGCTGTGGGTATTTACAGGAGTGCTGAATGCTTGGTTTCGGTTCCAGGCCAGAGGGGAGAAGAACTGAAGGAGGATTTGAGGCCAGAGACACCATCTCCCATAACCCCAGGACTAGAGGTGATTACAATAACAAGCAGCTTAAAAAAAAACCAAACAAACAGGCAAAGGAGAAAACCCAACTATAGAAAATTATTATGGGAATAGAAAAGTCTGGGGTTTGTCTTCAGAGGAGGATATTGAAGCAAACAAAGCATCTCCTACCCCAAAGAGTAACGTCAAATGGTTCTCTGCTCCAAAAGAATTCATAGAACTTAAAAAAGACTTTAAAAATCGAATGAGAGAGACTGAGGAAAATTTTTTTTAAAAAGTACAATGCAAGGAAAACAAGAAGATCATGAAAAGAAAGTCAGTCAATTAGAAAAGGAGATCCACAGTCTTAAGGAAGAAAATAACTTTTTTGAAAATTAAAATTGGGCAAGGGGAAGCCATTGAAGTTATAAGAGACCAAGAAATAACCAAAGAAAATGTGAAGAATGAAAAAATAGAAGAGAAAGTGAAACATCTCATAAGAAAAACAGTTTATTTGGAGAACAAATCAAAAAGAGAAAACATAATAATCAGACTACCTGAAAGCTACAATCAAAAAAAGAGTGTTGATGCAATAATACAGTGACATAGTTATAGCAAATTGTCCTGAAGTGTTAGAACAAGAGGGGAAAGTAGAAATAGAAAAAATCCACCTATCACAACCTGGAAGAGATCTATGAGGAAAAACTACAGGAATACCATAGCTAGATTCTGAAACCCCCAGCTCAAGGAGAAAATATTATAAACAACAAGAAAAAAAAAATTCAAATTTAGTGGAGCCACAATTAGAATCACGCAGGACCTAGCAGCGGCTACTCAAAAAGTGCGCAGGTCCTGGAATACTATATATGGAAGAGAAAAGGACTTGGGGTTGTGGCCAAAAATATCATACCCAATAAAGTTAAGCATACTCCAGAATGGAAAAAAAAGTGGACATTCAGTGAATTGCTAGACTTTCAGGATTTTGTGGCAAAATCACCTGAAATCAATGGAAAATTTGACTTACAAGATCCAAGAGAAATATAAGGTAAACATCAAAGACTAATTACAAGGGCCTCAATAAGGACAGACTGTTTACTTTTTGTACAAGGAAATGTAAATTGTATGTCTAAGACTGTTTATTAGTAATTGGGTAGTTCAAAAGAGAGATTGTGATAGAGCTGAGTATGATGCAATACTTAAACGTAAAACTGTCTAAGAAAAGGTAAAAAGAGCTTTATCTTATAAAAATGAGATGTGAGAGGAAGAGCTGACACAGGAATTAGATGGCGGAGGAGGGCCAGTAGTTCTGAACCCTACTGATCTGCAATGGGTTAAAGAGGGAACAACGCATATTTTATATGTGTGTGTGTGTGTGTGTGTGTGTGTGTAGAAGGGCATAAAAATCTTCTAAATTCAGAAGGAAAAAGCTAAGGGGGTGGGGAGGGGGGAATAAGGGAGGGATTTCAGGTTGGGGAGTAGGATAAGGGAGAGATCTTTGGTGGGGGAGGGAGTTAGGTTAAGTAATAGGAGGGCAAGGTACCAGTAGAAGCAAAATAGAAGAATCAGGAGGGATAGGAAATAGGAGATACACTTAAACATAAAAGAAAGATCAGGAGGAGAATTTATTAGGGGGAAGAAAATAAAAGCAGGGGTAGTAATCATGATCTCAGACAAGTTAAAGCTAAAATAGGTTTAATCAAAATAGAAAAATAGGGAAACTATACTATATGTCAGCCAATATTCTTTTAGACTACTTAAGATAACTAGATAGTATAAGGTTGGAATATTGCTGTGATATAGGAAAGATGAGTTGATAGACTTAGAAAAACATGGAAAGGCTTGGACTTAAAAAGAAAGATGTTATCTACCCTTAGAGAAACAGAGGACAAACAAGTATAGTACAGTCTTACATAGATGCATATGAATGCATATTTCTACTTATGAGTATGGTTATAAGTATATACATGTATATGTATGTTGGTATGTGTGTATGTGCATGTTTGTGTGTGTGTGTGTGTATATATATTTATCATATGTAGTATTATATAGGCTTTCTCAAAGTGGAAGTTAATTGCTGTTAAGTTTTTAATCCTTTTACGTTCTGCTATGCACATAGCAATGCTTTTTTCCCCTTTTTTCCTTAGCATTTAAGTTCATAATATTTCTTTTTCTTTTCTTGTGTATTTAAGTTTTAATATTTAAGTTTAAAATAAATTAACAAAGAAAAGAAGTTGGCAACCACTCCTTCAAAAACATTATACTATTTGTTCTTAAGGAAGATGAATTATCATTTAGGAGTTCTTAAATTGTACTGTTCTTGGGAGTTGCTAATGCAAATTGTTTTAAATATTTTTCCCTTAATAAAATAGCATTGAATACTATGGCCTTTTGCAGTTTATACACTTGTGCTAAGTTCATAATTTCCATCATTTTTTGCTTTTTGTTTTTCCTCTAGAGATGTGAATTATGTCCTCATAAGGATGGTGCTTTAAAGAGAACAGATAATGGGGGTAAGTACTCACATTTGTAAAATTTTTATTTAAAATAGGAAAAAGTGTTTTCAAATATGTGTTATATGTTAATTTATCAAAATTCTTTCTGAACTTTGAGAAATTATTTTAAGGCAGTGTAATATAGTAGAAAGAAGCCTAGGTGTAAAGGGGAAAGTGGAGGACATGTATTAGTGTAGGCTTTGTAGAACTGATGACATTTGGGTAGGGCTTTGAAGGATGGGTTGGATTTTATGTTAAAAAAAATAATAAGCATTGCAGGCATAAGAGATGATTTGAGCAAAGACAGGGAGGTTGGAAAGCATAGGATGTGTTTGGGAGGTATTAGAGTGGTTCAGTTTTACTGGAGCATAGATCCCTGCATGGAAAGGAGTGATAAGAGGTAAGGCTAAAAAGGTTGTGCCAAATTGTGGTGGTCCTTGAATGCCAGGCAGAGGAGTTTGAACTTGGTTGATGAGTAGGGAGTCACTAAAGATCTTTGAACAGAATGGTGATGTAAATAGCACTTTGAATAAGATACATTATTGTATAAATGGTATGTTAGAGATGACTTGGAGTGAGGGGACAGTGGAGGCAGGAGAACTGATGAGGAGAATTACTACTGTAGTTCTTGTAAGTTGTAGTAGCATCCTGTACTAATACATGGCTTTTGGAATAGAGATGAGTAGGGAAATGTAAGACACATTATTGAGGTGGAATTGTTAGGATTTTATCATTAGTTGGATATGAGAGGAAAAGCTGAAGGAAGTGTCAAAGATAATTCCTAGATGTGAATGTGGGAAACTGGGTGGGGTGAATGGTGATGCAGCATGGAGACATTCAGTAAGTTTTTATTTAATGTTTACTACGCGCCAAGCATTGAGTACGTAAAGACAAAACCAAAATGATTCCTGTTTTTAAGCTTATGTTTTACTGGTAGAGTAAGGGGGAGTGAAGGTGGCAAGCGACATGAATATCTAACTCACGTAAATAAAAACAAAACTTAGGCTAGATAATTTCCAGTATTATACTAGCAGCTGGTGGAATTTGGATCAGCCTAATATAGGAGGCAGCACTTGAGGTTAATGTTTTGGGATGTTTGGGGACTCATTGAAGCCAAAGTAAGGAGAGGCTACATTACAGGCATGAGGACAGCCTGTGCAGAAGCATGGGGCAGAATGTTGTGCAGCTAGTTTGGCTGGAATATCAAATATATAAAGGAGAGTAATATACAGTAGTGGTGGAAACACAAGCTGGAGTCACATGGCTAGAAATTCCAGAGAAGTTTGCATTTTACAGAAGCATTTGGGAACTACCAGAGTTTCTTAGATAGTGGAAAACATGATCAGATGAGTATCTTAGGAGGATCAGTTTGGGAGTTCTGTGGAAGGTGATTTGAAGATGAGAGAGACTGGAGTGAGGGAGGCCATTGGGAGTAGATAGGAGTAGTCCATGAGAGAGGTTATGGTGGAGTGTTGGTTTTGTGAATGGAAAGCAAGAAATAGGAGAGAAGTAAATGTGAATTTAGTATTGATAAGCCTTGGTCTGGGCAGGAGCATGCTATATTTGGAGCAATCCAGTACCCAAGGAGAGCATATTCACCAGAGTAAGTGGAGATCCCAGACCGATACTAGAGCAGAAAGTGCAGGGTGCCAGGGACAAGGTGCCACCTTCTAGCTTTGGTGCCTAGTATCCAGTTCTAGTTAACTGATACATGGTGGGGTGTGGAGGGAAACAATATTGATGGATGGTGTGCCCAGGTAGGGAGACCTAGGATTCTGTTCTAAAGGGGGCAAGTTCAGAAACAAGAAGAATGGCATGGCTCATATTCAAGGAACAAATCATGGTCCCAGCTCTACCACCTGGAACAGTCTTTAGAACCATAATCAGGGCAGAAATCCCAGACCAATGGGGAGGCTGTATTTCTGTCACTCTAAGCTGTCAGAACTTCCCATTTGTCTGATAAGGGCTCTGTCCAACAGCAGTTTACTGCTCCAAACCAAACCTAGATCAGGAACTTGCAGAGCTCAGACCAATCAGATTTTGCCCTAACAATCAGACCACTTTGATAGCACTGAAAGTTTGCAGGTCCCAAGCCTGTCCCTGAGGTTCTGGAAATACACAATACCCCATACTCCAAGAAAGCTACAACAGGATCAGCCCAGACCTTCCTAACAGAAGGGCAAAGAGTCCAGCCCTAAACATCAAGTCTGAAGTGAGGAAGCAGGCTGGAACAAGGGGCAGACAAAAAAAAAATCCCATTGTAAATAGTTATTACAGTGGCTGTGAAGCTCAAGACACAAACCTAGAAGAGAATGACTCCAAGATGTCTGCATGCAAAACCTCAGAGAAAAAACAGCTTGGACCCAAAATTCCTGAAAGAGATAAAGCAAGAGTTTCTGGTTTGGGGTTTTTTTTAAAAAGAGTTTTTAAAAAAAGACTAACCCTATTAATGAAATAAGAAAACTTGAGGAAAAAAATTTGAAAAGAAATGAGAGCTATGTAAAAAAGAATTGGGAAGAGAATTTACAGCTTGGCGTAAGAGATATAAAACCTTTCCCAAGGAAGAAACTTGCTGAAAATTTGCATGGACTACACAGAAGCCAATGATGCCATGAGACAACAAGAAATAGTAAAATAAAGTCAGAAGATTAAAAAAAAATAGAAGAAAATGTAATGTGTCTCAAAAGAAAAACAACTCACCTGAAAAATAGATTAAGTAAAAAAAAAATTAAGGATTGTTTGATTATCTGAATGCCACAATCATAACAAGAGCCTAGACATCTTATTTCAAGAAAACTCGACATCTCTTAGAACCAGAGGGAATAGCTGAAAGAGAAAGACTCCACTGGCTGTATCATGAAAAACCCCAACATAAAAACTTCCAAGAGCATCACAGACAAAATTCGGAAGTTCTGGGTCAAATAAAAAATACTATAGGCTTCCAGAACCAAAGAATGCAAGTACTGAGGAGACACAGTCTTGATCACCAATGATTTAACAGCCACCATCATAAAGCAGCAGAGAGCTTGGAATTCGATATTGTAGAAGGCAAAAGGTATAGTCTTATACCCAAGAATAACATAACTTGTAAAACTGACCATAATGCTGGGGGTTAGGGAGTGGGGCGGATTTTTAATTTATTAAATAAGAGGATTTCCAACCATTCCTGATGTAAAGGTCAGAGCTGTGTAGAAACTTTGAAGTTCAAATGCGATGGCGAATAACAAAATAAAAAGGTAAACACATTACAATCATATGGGACTAAGCAAGAATAAAGTGCTTACATTCCAACTTTGGAGATGGTACATGTCATCTGTCCTCTGAACTGTATCATCGTCAGCGTCAGGGATCATAGAGGGAATATAATTAGACACAAGGCTTGGAAATGATTTTGTTATGTCTTGATGATCTTAAGAGAAGGATGTAAAGAGATGATTAGGAGAATATACTCGGGGGTGGGGGAGAGGGAAGAGAAAGGAAGGTTAAGGAAAATTATCTCATATAATCAAGGTCCACCAACTAGAGATCTATACAAATTAGGAGTTGGGGGAGGGAGGGGCACAGCTGATGCCTGAATCTCACTGTCATCTTAGCTGTTCAAAGGATAGAATACACACATTCACAGACAGTTGGGTACTCCACAGAGGAATGGGAGGGAAAGCAGGGAGAAGAGGAAATTAGAATGAGAGTAGATTAAGGGAGAGAGATTTTAGTCCTAAGAAAAACAAACTCTAAGAATGTACTAAAAAACATCACTATAGTCTCCATAAGCTGTTTTTGAGGTGGGAAAGTATGGGAATCTGAGGGAGTGCCCATAAATTGTAGAATGGCTAAATAAGTATTGGTATGGGAATGTGCTAGAATATTATGCTGTAAGAAATGATGGAGATGGTTTCAAAGAAACCTGGGAAGACTTAAAATGAACTGATGCATAGTGAAGTGAACAGAATCAGAACATTAATATATACGTGATATATAATATATCATGAAGACAAACAATTCTGAAAGAATTAACTCTGTTAGTGTAAAGACCAACTCTGATTCCAGCCATAACATGTCATCTCTTCCTGTTAGAGATGTGAAGGACTTAAATGCAGAATATAAATAAATGCATGCACATATATATCTAGACATGGCCAATGTGGAAATTTGTTTTACTTGTCTGTATGGGTTTTTTGTTTTTTGGCTAGTCAGTGGGGGTAAGTGACTTGCCCAGAGTCACACAGCTAATGAGTGTTATGTGTGTGAGGTCAAATTTGACCTCAGGTCCTCTGTACATGTTTTTTGTTTTTCTGAGGCAATTGGGGTTGAGTGACTTGCCCAGGGTCACACAACTAGTAAGTGTCAAGTATTTGGTCTGAGGCTGGATTTGAACTCAGGTCCTCCCGACTTTATGGCAGGTGCTCTATCCACTGCGCCATCTAGCTGCCCCACTGTACATGTTTTTTAAAAAGGATTTTGTTTCAGTTGAGGATTGGGTGAGAGAGGAAGAGGAGGATTTTTTGCTTAATGAAAAATGAAGTGTTTTAAAGTTGTTAAACTTTGATGCTGTGAAGGTAGAATCAATCAGTAGTACTTGGGAACTGTTTGGGTATGAGAGGTGAAGGAGAGGGAAGGGTTGTTTTACTCTGTGGTTTCAAACCTGAGTGACTGGAAGGATGGTAGTGATCTCAATACAAAAAGGAAAGTTAGGAAGAAGGAGGGTTTTAGGGGCAAGATTAGTTCTGTTTTGAACATCTAGTTAGGTTTAAAAGGAGTAACAGGTTTAAAGGAAAATACTACGAGATGAGTTTTAGACATGTTGTGAGGTACTTGCAGACTATCCCGGATGTTTTCAGTTAATTGGAGAAATAAATCTCAGCTGGAGTTGTGCATGTGGGAGGAGATGTGCATAGAGGAAACCAACTAAGTGAATGAGACTGATGTGAGAAAGAATAGAAATGATAGGAAGGAAGATGAAGGGCCATCAAAGAAGAGAGAGGAGGAAAAATATCTATTTGTCCCCAGCATAAAAAACT